GGCACATACCCAGGGAACTCACCTGGCATCACAGGAGTAACTGCAGTGGTACAAGGAAGCCAGCGAGAGAGAATGGTGCATCCTCCAATGACCTAGACCGTGGAGGGCCTGCAAGCATCCAGGTACATTTTTGGCTTCCATAATGATGATAGTGAGCAGCCGGTTTGTAGGGTCCTGGTGGAAAAGCTATGTCTCTGGACACATTTGTCACACATGTGCTTTCAGGTTCAGGCGGGGAGAAGTCAGAGCATGAGGACAGCCTTGAGGTCTCTCCAGGAGAGTCACGGACCATAGGATTTATTAGGGATTCAGGTATGAGATGATCATGGCTCTCATCATTGTACTGACCATGGTATTTTGAAGGAATCCAAGACATAGATGATGAGCCTGTCCCTAACCATGGTAGGGCCCTCGGGATTTTGTAGCTATAGAGTGAAAAGATGACAGTGGTCACATCCCTGGTAATTTCAGTGGGATTTCGTAAATATCCAGGTAAGAAATGAGTGTTTTTGCTTAGGAAGGGAACATGGGATGCTGAAGTTATAAAGGTAGGAAATGATGATAAACCTAATTGTGTGGGTGACCATGCTATTTTCTAGATAACCAGATAAGAGAGGATGGTTGCCCTAACTCGAGTATCAAAATTGGATTTCCTCAGGGTAGGCACATAGGAGCTGATGATGTTTCTTCCCATATTAGTGAACATGACATTTTGTGGTATTCCAAATGTGATGGCAAAACCAAACCACAAAATGACCATGAGATTTGTCAGGAGTCTTGTAAACAGATGGTGGTACCCTTAACCGTGAAGGTTATGATGAAATTTTGTAGGTCAGTAATTAAGAGAGGATGGTGATCCTAACCACGGTAGTGAATGAGGGATTTTGTGAGTCCCCAAGTAAGAGATGATGGTGTCTGTAAAAATGTGGTGACCATGTGATTCTGCAGATATCTAATTAAGGAATAATGTGTTACTAGAAATGGTAGTACCTAGGTGTTTTAAAGTTACCCAGGAAAGAAATAATTTGTCCCTAGCAATGCCATTTATTCTGCATAATTTTAGGTCACCACGTATAGTAGGTTTATCTAAATCTGGTAGATCTCACGGGTTTCTGTAGGTATCCACATGAGAGATGATGATTCACGAATGGTAAACAATTGCCACTGTTGTTACCAAGGTATTTTGTAAGTATCCAGCTAAGAGCTCTGGCTTTATATATTTGTTGGATATAAGACTATTTTGTTTTGTATTTTTATAATATCTGATTTTTCTTTTTTTGAGATAGAATCTGGCTGAGGTAAATGCTGATGTGGACATAAACCACAGCCCATACTGTGGGACTGTCAGAGAGACCCATTTCAGTGATGACGTGTCCCTACACACCTTCCCACTGTGACTTCTTTCACAGGTACTCGAGTGAGAAATGATTGAGTCCTCACCATTCCTAGATTGGCTCGGATTTCTCATTTTCTCTTTCAGCGAAAGTGTATGCTGGACCCTGTGAGTGTTGAGGGACTGCAGGGAGCCAGGTATTTATCACCATATTCCCCACCCCCATGCTATCCCTAGGATGTCTATAGGTGTTGAGAAACAGTGTTTCTGTGCTATCAGGGTCAACCTGGGATGACTGCAAGTATCCAGGTCGAGTGGGTGTTGCCCGTAAAGGTGCAAATAAGGTTATTTGCAGGAGTGCTGGCGGCAAACCCTACGTCCCTATACACATATGTCTTCGTGCGTCTTTCAGATTCCTACCGTGACATCACAATTAATCTGACATGGAACCTTAATGGGAAGCTTGGCTGCTTTGCAGGTCAACACTGCTGAGGACCGAAAGCATCACATGGGCCACATGAGGTTCAGCTGTCTAGGTAAGTGATGCTGGTGCCAGGCCCCCTGTTCCCGTGATTTCACCTCAGGTGTCCTGATGGGGATTGATAAGGGTCCCTGGCATACCAGAAACCATGAATTTTTCCTCTGCATATTTCAGAAGCAATGCCTAACCCTGTGAGTGGGGTGGGACTACAAATAGCAGGTAATGATCCGGGGTTCCCAGCCACAGCAGTGACTGTGTACATTATACAGGTGTCCTGTAGAAAGAAATGCTGTCTTCTGGAACCATGGCCTTCAGCTGGACGGGCCCCTCCAGATCCTAGTAAGTGTCTTTAAATGATGGATGTGAGCATCGTGATTGATTTGCAGGTGTCCTGGTAGAAAGGTATATGTCATAATTTCTGTTTTTCAGATTCCCAGGAGGCAATCTTGACAGAAAAGGATCGCCAGGGGACATGTCTGCTGTCTGTCTAAGTGATGGTGTATGCGGCAAACTCACCACAGACCAGATGATCTCCACTTATCTAGGTAAGTGAGGTTTCTTTGCCTGAATGGTTTACCATGTGATGGGTTAACAGCTGTTTTGGAAATAAGGGAAGTGGCTCTCTGTTCTCCCTGCTATGCGATCCTATTGATTTCTGTCCTAAAGAGAATGTATGATGTGTGCGCTCTGAGTGTGGATTCACTTGAATGTACCCAGGGAATTCAGGTGGCACTGTGCATCACCGGAGTAACTGCAATGGATTTCCAGGGAAGCCAGCCAGGGAAAATGGCGTGCTCTACGATGGCCTAGACCGTGGAGGGCCCGTGAGCATCCAGGTACATTTTTGTCTCCCACCATGATGATAGTGTGCAGGCAGTTAACACTGGTATCAAAGCAGTGTCTGTAGACACATTGGTCGCATATTTGGTTTCAGGTTCAGGCAGACAGAAGTCAGAGCGGAAGGTGCCTTGAGGTCTCTGCAGGAGATTCACGGACCATAGGATTTGGTAGGGATTCAGATATGAGATGATCATGGCCCTCATCACGTTAGTGATCATGGTATTTTGAAACAACCCAAGAAACATGATGGCCATGCCCCTATGGTAGTGCCCATGGGATTTTGTAGCTATAGGGTGAAAAGGTGACAGTTGTCATATCCATGGTAATGTCTGTGGGATGTTGTAAATATCCAGGTAAGAAATGGGTGTTTCTACTTAGGTGGTAAACATGGGATACTGAAGTCATAAAGGTAAGGAGTGATGACAAACCTAATCATGCAGGTGACCATGGCATTTTCTAGCTATCCAGATAAGAGTGGATGGTAGCCCTAACTCAAGTATTAACATTGGGTTTCCTCAGGTACGCATGTAGGAGCTGATGATGTCCCTTCTCATGTTAGTGAACATGGCCTTTTGTGGTATTCCAGATATGATGGTGAACCTAACCCCAAGATGACCATGAGGTGTGTCAGGTGCCTAGTAAAGAGAAGCTGCTCCCTTTAACCGTGAAGGTTATGATGAAATTTTGTCAGTCAGGAATTAAGAGATGACGGTGAACCTACAACGGTAGTGAACAAGGGATTTTGCAAGTCACCAGGTAAGAGACAATGGTGTCTCTAAAAATGTGACCATGTGATTTTGCAGGTATGCAATGAAGGAATAATGTGTTACTGGAAATGGTAGTACCAAGGTATTTATTGTTACCCAGGAGAGAAATCATGTGTCCTTATGGCATTTTATTTGGGCAATTTGTGGGTCTCCAGGTCTGGTAGGTATTTCTATATCTGATCGATCTCATGGGCTTCTGTAGGTATCCACATGAGAGATGATGTATCACAAGTTGTAACCAAGTGCCAAGGTATTTCACAGGTATCTCACTTAGACCCCTGGTGAATATGAGTTTTTGAAGATATCCAGCAGGGAATGATGTTGGCCTAAACCATGATAATGCCCACAAGTTGTGCCCATATCTTGGTAAGAGGTGGTGTGTGTGTAATTATAGTCATCACCATGGCTTTTTTGCAGATTCCAACAAATAATGAAGATAAGCTTAACCACTATTATGAATATAAGATCTGGAAGGAATTAAGGAAAGAAATAATGTGGGCTTTAACCAAGTGGACATGATTAGATTTTGGGGATTTCTAAATAAGTGATTATGGTGTCCCTAACTATGGAATTTTGCAGGTTGTAGTCAATAGGTGATGAGGAATTTAATAGTAGGTGCAAACATGGGATTTACTGATAACCAGGTAAGGCATGATGTGGTCCTTAAACATATTACAGACCATATGATTTTATGGATATCTACATAAGCAATAATATGTCGTGAAATCTTGATATAGCCACTTTGTTTTCACATTTAAAAAGTTGCTCAATCTCAAATACTTGGCACAGAGCTGATTTTCAAGTTGAGGAATGCACCAGCAGCCAGGTGCGGTGGCTCATGCCTTAATCCCTAACTTTGGGAGGCCAAGGCGGGCAGATCACTTGAGTTGAGTTCAAGACCAGCCTGACCAACACAGTGAAAACCCGTCTCTACTAAAAATACAAAATGAAGCCGAGCGTCCTGGCACGTGCCTGTAGTACCAAGGTATTTATCAGTTACCCAGATACTTGGGAGGCTGAGAGGTGCAAGAATCACTTCAACCCAGAAGGTGGATATTGCAGTGAGTTGAGGTTGGACCACTGCACTCCAGACTGGGTGACAGAGCGAGACTTTGCCTCAAAAAAAACAACAACAACAAAAGTAATGCACCAGAGTCATGAAATAATGATCTTATCACAGAGGGCTTAGAAAGCAAAACCTTAGAAAATATTACCATTTCTCAAAATACTTGTGGAAAATAATTAAGAACCAGATAACAGAAATTGTGATCAGAGGAAATACCATCAGAATATACTTAAGTGCACAATACATAGTTGGAGGGTGAACTGTTTACCCTTCTAAAACCATCACTATGATCAACACAGACAACAGATACTTTCCTCAAAGATTAAATTGGTTCATGAGAAATAAAAGCAACCAAAATGAGCCACATTATCTGCAGTAGAAGAGACTATATAGAAAAAGTTCTATGGCAAGAGCTAATTAGTTGGTCTACAAACAGATAAATGCCCCAATTTTAGACACGTTAGATATTGCATACTCAAAAAAAAAAAAAAAAAAGAAGAAGGAACATTTTGAAAGCTGTTGTAAATTTAATTAATTGCTGGGTGTCTCTTTGGCTAGTAGTTGAACGATCATTATTTAGTCCTACAGTGCTGTCCCTTTTGTTTGCAAACCACCTAAAAGTCTTATTTCCTCATCTCTTTGACAGATTACCAAGATGGATCCTACAATATAATCACACAGGATAATGTTGGAAAGTATGACTATCTAAATCATTTCTAAAGGTCTTACTTATCTTCACTGATTTTCAAACTATTTCTAACAGCATCTAAAACTATGTCGACAGCGGCCTGGAGCATGTCTTCATTGCTGTCATCACTGAGATCACTGTCAGTTCCTCTCAGACTTGTTGTTGGCATTTCGGATGGACATGAACTGTGACCTGGTGGATCTGACTTTTGTTTCCTCTGCTGTTGTTCTTGCTCATCCTTTTCAAAATAGTCTTTTGTTTTCTTCAGCTCTTCCAAAGCAGGAGTTACACACGATGTCTGCGGAAGATCTTGCGATGTGTTTCTGGAAGTACCTTGCATGCTTAACTCAATAGCTCTGTGGAGATCTGCATCTCCTCTCTTGGTTACTTGATGACTCAGTGCTAGGGCCCTCTGAAAATCCTCCTCATCTTCGTCTGATACGTCAGATTCATCAGTTTCTTCTGACACTTTTTCAAGGACTGTTTTATGGTCTCTTTGTTGTTTTTCTAGTGGTAGTTTTCTTTCAGTAAGTTTTGGTCGATCTCTTTGTTTGACCCTGATGGTCTGCAGGAGTTGGTCAGCTTCACAGTCTGGCAGATCACCCTTAACAACAAATACAGAATAGCCTTCTTTTTGCAGTTTACTGAGAAATAGTGCCAGGTATGTATCTGATATTAATTCTGGACCCTCCAAGAGAGAATCCAAGTTAAACCAGAGTTTTCCAAATTTTCTAATAGTAAACCAGTGTTGTTCATAATTACATATAAAAGATCTTTCATTTATAGGATTAATCCCAAGCTTTTGATAGGCAGGGCTATTTAAAAGGATCACGTCTAAACCCCAGAACTTCAAAGCATTGGTTATAACTTGAATAGAAAAGAAACCTGTGTCATCCATGTTTCCTGAAGGCTGCTGTAAAAATGCGCGATAGTCTTCACTGGTGACTCCTCCTTCTGCCATTCTCATCCTCTCTTCTTCATCAAGCTGATGTGCAATTGAGGCTAATTCCACAGGGCTAAAATATTCTCCTTGAAGTAGATTATTTAGGCAGTGCTGCGCACAGAGGGATCCTTCTTGTTTCTCGTGGAAGATGAACTCCATGTTGATTGGAACCAGGTGTTTTTGTAGGTTTGCGGGGAGATGTTGTATGCCCAGCTTTGGTACCTATCTGGACAGTATGGAGATGTCCATGTAATAGGTGTACAGTTTTCAAAGCTTATGAAAACCATGGGATTCTGTAGGTGTTCAGGTCAGAGATGATGTCACAAAGCACTATGGTGACCAAGGTGGCTTTGCCAGTATCCAGTCAAGAGCTGATGGGAAACCTAAAGTGAATATGGGATTTTGGGGTTATCCTTTAGGTGATAATGATGACTTGAACCATAGTAGTGCCCCTGGGATTTTCAGATGTCCTATAAAAGGAAATACCTCTCTAATGGTAGTTGTCAGCATGGTTTTAGTAAGTAAATAAAGATGAAATTTACCACAGCACTAAACATAAGATTGGGTCGGTAACTGGGAAAGAAATAACATGGGCTTTAACTGAATGGACACCATGGGGTTTTGCAATTGTCTAGGTCAGTTATCGTGATGTCACCACAGTAATAGCCATGGAATTTTGCAGGTTTCAGTAAGATGACAATAAAACTCACAGTGGCAAGGAAGATGGGACTCTGCCGGTATCCTGAGATGATGTGGGCCTTAAAAACATTAGTGACCAAATGATCTCCAAACATCTAGAAAACTGATGATGATGTCTTGAACTCTTTTCGTAGCCATGTGTTTTTACAGGTGTTCAGGTAAGAAACGTGTGTACCTAACACAAGCAGGAACCATTAGATTTTATTGTTTCCTAGTTCTGAGAAAATTTGCCTCAAAACTTAGTAGGGACAAAGATATTAGCAGGTATCCAGGTAGGATGTCACAGAGTCTCACCACAGTAGGAAATGTGGGATTTTTGCAGGCGTCCAGTGAATAGACAGTGTGTAGAACTACTGTGTTGACCTTGGACTTCTCTAAGTGTCCGTGTACAGTTAGTGGTTGCCCTAATGATTGTAGTGAGTGTATGGATGGAATTAGCAGGGGTCCAGATGGAAGGACATGTATGCTGACCACAGTTGCCACCATGTGTTTCTTCAGCTGGTAGTCAAGAGATGATGGAGTCTCTAACTACGACATAGGCCTTAAAACCTTAGGATTCAGGTAGAGTTCATGGTTCCCCTAACAGTACTAGTCACCATGGGATTTTTTGAGGTCCATGTAGATGATGTATCCCTAACCACTATTGCTGCCATATGGTTTTGTAGGCTCCCGTCAAGAGATAATGGTGAAACTCATATTGGTTGTTTTTGTAGGAATTTCATGGAATCCATGTAAGTGATTATGTGGACCTTAAACATAGTAGAGACCATCTGATCTTCAAAAATCTAGGTAAGTGATAATGATGTCCTCAACATCTGTTGGTATCACGTGTTTTGCAGGTATTCAGGTAAGAAAATGATACTGGGTCTACCAGTAAGTATTGGTAGCCATGACATCTAGCTTAACCACTTTTCTCATTTAGTGATAATGTGTGTTTAACCTTAGGAGTGAATGAGGGCTTTTCAGGTATCTAGGCAAGTGATCATAACTTTCTTCACCACCGTAATGACCATGAGATGTTTATAGATGCCCAGACAATAGATGATGGTGCCTGTAACAATGTGTTGACCTTCAGGTTCTGCCAATATGCAGGTAGCATTAATGGGTTTGTAAAGATGGAAGTGACACAAGTTATCTGCAGATGTTCTGCTAGAAAAATTTGCATTCTTAAACACATCTGTCACAATGTGATTTTTCAGGTTTCTGTCTAAAGGTCAAGGTAACCCTAACAATGGGGATTAACATGGAGCTTTGTTGGTATCCAGGCAAGTGATGATGTGGGACTTACCACACAACAGACCTTCTGACCTTCAGAAATTTACATAAGTGATGTTGGTACCTCTGTCTAACATTTGTGTTACCATGTTTTTTGTTGCAGATATTCAGGTAAGAAGTGATAGTGTTCCCATAATTCCTATTTAAGAATGTACCATTACTGCTTACTAGTTCAGAGATAATGTTTTGAAACCTGGTTAAGACTGAGTAATTTGTAAGTTTCCAAGTAAATTTTCATAGTGTTTCTCATCTCAGTATTGACGACGGTATATTTACAGGTACTCAATCAAGAGATTATGACATGTCCATGGTTTTGACCTTGATATTTTCTAAGAATCAGGGTAAAGTTGATGGTTCTCCTAATGCTAGTAGTTCTCATGAGCTGTTGCATGGTTTAGGTAGAAAAAGATGTATCTCTAACCATGGCTGCCTTCATGGGTTTTTTAGGTTCTACTCAGTGGACGATAGTGAAACTAGCAGTGATAGTGAAAGTGGACTTAGCTAGAAGACAGGAAAGAGATGGTGTGAGCCTTTACACATTAGAGAGCTTCAGATTTCAGTTACCTAGGTAAGAGTTGATGGGGCCTATAATACTGTGGTTACAGGACTGTTGTTTTTTTAAACAGGTATTCAGGTAAGGACTGTGCTGATGTAAAGGTGAGAAATGAGGGCATTTACACATTAGAGAGCTGAGTTTCAGATATCTAGGAAATTGATGATGGTGATCATAACTGTCATAGTCACCTGATTTGGTACAGGTTTGCAGGGAAGAGTAGGCATGAGATTGTTTGTATTCTTGTTTAGTGATAATTTGTACTTAACCCTAGTAGCAAGTGAGAAATCTGCAGGTATCCAGGTAAGTTACCACATTGTCTATCACCACACTAGTGAACGTGGGATTTTTGCAGATACCTCTTCAAAAGAGAGAGGTATCTTTATTAGAGAGGTGTCTCATACCTCTGGAGCTATCCAGGTATCGTTGACGAGTCACAAAAAGAAGTGATCGAGGGTATTTGCAGTTGTCCAGGTATTATAAGAGGTGTACTAAACACGTTTTTCACAATATGCTTTTCAGGTTCCTTTCAAGAGATCCTAGTGACCTTAACAATGGCCATTAATGATGGACATTGTGAGTATCTGGTAAGTGATGAGGTGTGCTTAATCCACAGCTAAAAACATTTGACCTTCATGTAAGAAAGTAATTGATGACAGTGCCCCTAACAGTTGTTAACATGTTTGCTTGCTTATTTGTTATGAAGATACTGAGGTAAGAAACCATAGTCCTTACCAGTGTTAGGAACTCCATGAGTTCTTAGCTTTACATATTTTAGAAAATTTATCTTTAACCCTGTGGATGCTGAGTCATTGCCATATCCAGATAATTTTCATGGTGTTCCTCACCACAGTATTAAACATGGGATTTTTGCAGATATCCAGTCAAGAAACAATGGTTTTGTCTGGCAGTGTTGTTGACCTTGAGTACTGCAAATGTCCAGATAGAGTGTATATGTGCCATAATGATGGAGGTCACAAAAGTGATTTTCAGGCATCATGGTAAAAAAAAAGTGTGTTTTAACACATACTTCAAAATATGTTTTTCAAATTCCTGTTAAAAGATTGTGGTGAACCTAACAATGGTTACTAACATGGTAATTATTGATGTGGGTCTTTCACACTACAGAATGTCTAATCTTCACATGTCTAGGTCAGTGATGGTGGTGTCCCTAGTACTCGTATTAGCATATTTTTATTTTCAGCTATTAGGAAAGGTCTTTAATAGTATAGAGGTAAGAATTAATATGACTTTTATACAGCAGAGACCTTTCTATTTTCAGATACCTAGGTAATTAATGATGATGTTGAGAATTCTGATACTAATCTTGGTGTTTGGCTGGTTTGCGTAGAGTAAATTAATTTTGTGTAACAGTACAAATAAGCATGAGCTTTTACTGTATTCTTATTTAGAGGTAATATGTATTAAATAATCATGGTGATAGATGGACATGTAGGTAACCAGCTAATTTATCATATTGTTTACCACATAATGACCATGGGATTTCTGCAGGTATCCATTTAAGAGAGGAAAGCGTCTCTTCCTAGATACTGACATTGGAGTTCTGGAAGTGTTCAGACAATGTTGATGGATCCCAAAATGACAGAAATGGTGAGGGGAATCTGCAGGTGCGCAGGTATGATCAGATATATATCAAATATACCATCATTCATAATGTGCTTTTCAGGATTCTATCAAGAGGTTATGGTGAGCCTAACAATGGTAGTTGATCTGGGACATTGCTGGAATATAGGTAACTGATGTGGAAGCTTATACCACAGCAAAACTACTTGATTTTCCTCTATCTAGGTAAGTAGTAAATGATGTCCGAAATACTCATTACTGTGTTTGTTCCTTTTTTCTTTATGTATTCAGCGATGAAAGAGTTCTTACTAGTAATAGAAACCATGAGTTATTTCTTTTCCCATTTTTTTCTGGAGGCAGGACGGAGTCTCACCCTGTCACCCAGCCTGGAGTGCCATGGCGCGATCTCGGCTCACTGCAACCTCCGCCTTTCGGGTTCAGACGATTCTCCTGCCTCAGCCTCCTGAGTAGCTGGGATTACAGGTTCCAGCTAGCACGCCCAGCTAATTTTTGTATTTTTAGTAGAGATGGCGTTTCACCATGTTGGCCAAGCTGGTCACAAACTCCTGACCTCGTAATCCACCCTCCTCAGCCTCCCAAAGTGCTGGGATTATAAGGGTGAGCCACTGCGCCCAGCCCTTTTTACATTTTAGGGAAAGTTTGTTTGACTTTGTGAATATTGAGGGATTTTCACATCCAGTAATTATTGTGTTTCCCACTGCAGTCATAATCATGGGATCTTTGCAGTTATTTAGTCAAGAAATTATGATCTCATCTGACATGGTGTTTGCCTTGGTGTACTACAAATATTCAAGCAGAGTTGATATGTCCAGTAATATTGCAAGTAACTAAGGTTATTTGGCAGCATCCTCATAGAAAAAGAATGTGCCCTTTAACATGTATTCTCTAACTTGTTTTTCAGGTTCCTGTCAAGAGAGCACGTGATTAACATGGGACTTTGCTGGTATCCAGGTAGCTGATGTGGGCCATGGTGATGTCGTATGGCCTCTACTTATTGTTGTCCATTTTCTGTTATTTGAAAGTATTCAGGTATGAAATTATAATCTCCTTATTTCTATTAATCATGTTGAGTTTGTTTTATATAGTAATGTAAACTTACGTTTAGCCTAGTGAGCGTTGGATCTGCAGATATCCAAGTAATTCTTATGATATTCTGCTTCTCCGATGTAACCACAGGGCTTCTGGAAGTGTGCAGTCAACAGAAAGTATTTTCCCTAACAGTAGGGCAGACCGTAGAATGCTACAAGTAATCAGGTAGAGTTGATGGGTCCTGCAGTGGAGAAAGCCACCAACTTTGTCCGTAGATGTTTAGGAGGAAAGAAGTGTGTGCATAGGAACCTTGTAACAATTTGTTCTTCAGGTTTCAGTCCAGAGACCATGATGAACTTCAAAATGGTCATTCACAGGGATTCACCTGGTGCCCAGGTAAGTGTTGATGTGGGCCTAAACCACAGCACAGGCCATCCGATCTTCATGTGTATAGGTGATGATAGTGTCACATTTTTGTGACTATGTGTTTATTGCAACTATTCAGCTAAGCATGACATAGGCCTTAACAATGTGAGGAACCATGAATTTTCACTTTTTTATTCTGTAGAGAATTTATGTTCAACGCTTTTAGTGTTAATAAGTGCACATATCTAGATAACGATCATGGTGTTCCTCTCCTAGTAGTATTCATGGGAATATTGAGAGTGCAGTCAGGAAATGATGTTCTTATCTGACAACAACAACACTTCCTTGGAGTACTTCAGGTATTCAGGTAGAGTTGATGGGTTCTGCATGATGGCAGTGATCAAGGTTACTTTCAGGTGTCCTGAAAGAAAAGTTGTGTTCTTTAGCACATATCTCAAATTCTGCTTTTCAGATGTCTGTCAAGAGATCACAATGGACCTAAATATGTTTCTTAACAGGAAACATTGCTGGTGTCCGGGTAAGTGATGATATGACATTGACTCATTAGAGACCTTCTTATTTACAGATATCTGAGTAGTTAATGATATCCTCAAAACACATACATTAACATTGTTTTTGGCATGTGTGCAGTTAGAGAATCCGTCCCTAACAATACTAGGAAATGTGAGATTTTACTGTATTCTTATTTAGAGATAATGTGTATTTATCACTCACAGCAACAGATGAATATGCCAGTATCCAGGTAACTTAGAGTCTTACCTATCACCAGGTTATTGGTCATTTTGCAGGCATGACTTCAAGAGAGGAAGGAGTTTCTTACCGTAGTTTGAACTTGGAATCGAGCAGGCATCCAGGTAGCATCGATGGGTCCTGAAAAGATACAAGTGACCGAAGGAGTTTGCAGGTGTTCAGGTATCCGAAGACATTTACCAAACACATTTTCTACAATACCAAATGCACTTTCCACAATGTGTTTTTCAGACCCAAGTTTAAGACATCGTGTGAGTCTAAGAAAGGTAATTAAGTGGGACATGGCTGGTATCAAGGCAAGACATTATGTGGGACAAAAATACGACACAACACATCCCCTCTGATCATCATGTACATAGGTAAGTGATGACAGTGCCCCAGGCACTTGTTTTTTGCCTTTTCCATGATTGTTTTGCAAGGATTCAGGAAATAAATCATAGAACCCATATCAATTCTAGAAACTAAGAGAAAATGTATAGCAAACCTGAGTTTGAGGAATTGTATGCATCCAGGCAGAAATCCATTGTGATCCTCACTACAGTGTGGATCCTCACTACAGCCTCAAACCATCATTCCTTGACCAGATACCTATAAAATCACAGAAACCATGTGATTTTATAGGTATCTGGTCAAGGAGTGATGGTTGGAGGCTGGGAGCAGTGGCTCACACCTGTAATGCCAGCACTTTGGGAGGCCAAGGTGGGCGGATCACGAGGTCAGGAGATCGAGACCATCCTGGCCAATATGGTGAAACATCGTCTCTACTAAAATACTAAAAAAATTAGCCGGGTGTGGTGGCATGCTCCTGTAGTCCCAGCTACTCAGGAAGCTGAGGCAGGAGAATCGCTTGACCCTGAGAGGTGGAGGTTGCAGTGAGCCGAGATCGCGCCCCTGCACTCAAGCCTGGTGACAGGGCAAGACGCTGTCTCAAAACAAACAAACAAAAGAAATGATGGTTTGGTATGACAACAGTGTTGACCTTGGAATACTGAAAATGTCCAGGTACAGTTGATTTGTCTCATAGGGACAGAACTCTCCCAGGTTATGTGCAGGTGTCCTCCTGGAAAACATTGTGTCCTTTAACACATAATTCACATTGCATTTCAGGTTCCTGTGAAGTTATTGTTATGAAACTAAAAGTGGATGCTAATAAAGACATTTCTGGTCTAAGTAAGTGATGATGCACACCCTAACCAATCATAAATCGTTGGATTTTTTATACTAGTAAGTTTTACCATATACTTTTTGGCACGTGTTCAGACAAAACGTGATCGTATCTTACTAATACTAGCAGGCATGTTATTGCATAGTTCATATTTCACAGAAAATTTACATTTAACCATGTGAGTGATCATTGATTTCCATGTATCCATGAAAATATCTTGGGGCTCCCCACCACAGTAGCAACCATGGGATATTATCAGCTGTGCAGTTATCACCACCCATGATGGTGTCTCTAACAAAGATGTGTTTGCAGTTATCACCACCCATGATAGTGTCTCTAACAAAGATGTGTTGACCTTGAATGAAAGCTAGTGTCTTGGTGGAGTTGATGTGTATTCCAAAATAATGGAAGCATGCAAGATTGTAGACAAGCACCCTGGGAGAACAAGTTGTAACCTTAAACACAGTCGCTGTATATGATTTTTCAGGTTCTTGTCAAAACTATGAGGTGAACCACCTAATGCTCAATAATGAAGCATTGCTTGCAAACAGGTAACGATGACTGCTTCCTGTAGTAAGGGGTAATTACACAATGCAGAGCATTGGATTTTCTAGGTATGTAAAATGGGGTCCCTTATATTTAAGCTAGTGTGTATTTTGTAGGTAATCCTTTAAGGCTTTGGGGCCAGTATGCAGATACCAGATAAGATCCTATTAACTTGTATAATACCTTGGTATGTTCAGATATCAGCTTTATTAACGTTTTTACACAATATCAACTTAAACTTGTTTTTCATATGCAGTCAAAAAATACATATGCCTCCAGTAATATGATTAATGCAGAGAATTTATTGCATGTGTTGACAGATGAGTATTGAACACTTTCCGGGCTACGCAAATCCACAGGCATCTAGGTAATTGACTGTATTGTAGAATACCATGAAATTAACAACAGGAATTTTGCGGGGATTTAATCAAGAAAGCACAAGATTCTTAAAAGGTGTTTTCCTCAAATGTCTACAAGTATCGAGGTACATTTGATGAATACAAAATAATAAAAGTGCCCAGAAAAAATTGGAGGTATATAGGTAGAATGATACATCTACCAGTCACACTATTCACAATTTATATTACAGATTTACGTTAGCATATTGCAGCAAGCCTATCAAAGCTGAGTAATATGGGACATTGTGGCGGAGGTACGTGCTGATATGGGCCTAAACTACAGGCCACAGAGTGGGACTGTCACAGAGACTAGTTCAATGATGACGTGTCCCTACACGTCTTCCTGCTGTGATTTTTTTCCCCAGGTATTCAGGTGAGAAAAGATTGAGTCCTGACCAATCTCCTATAGGCCGGGGTTTCCAATTTTCTGTTTCACCAAAAGTATATGCTGAACCCTGTGAGTGTTGAGGGATTGCAGGTAGCCAGGTATTTATCACTGTATTCCCCACCCCTGTACTGTCCCTAGGATTTATAGTGTGTCCAATCGTGAAACAGTGGTTTTGTGCTATCAGGATCAACTAGGATTACTGCAAGTACCTAGGTGGAGTGGTGTGTCCCATGAAGCTGGAAATACTCAAGGTTCTTTGCAGGAGTCCTGGTGGAAACACCATGTCCTTCTACCTATGTGTCTTGGTGCCTATTTCAGACTCCTACCGTGACATCACAGTGAATATGATACAGGTCTGCAGGTCAGCACTGATAAGGACTGAAAGCAATGCACAGGCCACAGGAGGTTCAGCTGTCTAGGAAAGTGATGATAGTGTCCATCCTTCCTGTTGTTCCCATGATTTCGCTTCAGGTGTCCCAGGAAAAAAGATAAGACTCCCTGGCATACTGGAAACCCTGAGTTTTCCCTCTGCATATTTCAGAGACAATGCTTAACCCTGTGAGTGCAGTGGGACTATAAATACCAGGTGATGATCCGGCGTTCCTTCCCCTCCACAGCCACGACTGTGGACATTTTGCAGGTATCCTGTAGAAAGAAATACTGTCTTCTGGGACCATGGCCCTGAGCTTGGGGGCCCTGCCAGCATCCAGGTAAGTCAGTGATAGATTTGAGTATCATGATTTGCAGGTGCCCTGGTAGAAAACCTTGTGTGTTTCTGAGGCATATATCTCAGTGTATGTTTTCCAGGTTCCTGGGAGGAAATCCCAGCTAACCAGAGACATGATTAGGGGATGTGTCTGCTCTCAGGGTAAGTGATGATGTGTGCCATAAACTTACCATAGTTACGTGATCTGCACGTATCTAGGTCAGTGAGGTTCCTTTTCCTGAATGGTTTACTGTGTGATGGGTTTATGGGTATTCCAGTAAGAAAGGGTAGTGGCTCCTTGTTCTCCTTGCCAGGTGGTCCTGTTGTTTTCAGTCTGGGAGAGAGCGTATGAGGTATGTACCCTGTGAGTGTTGATTGATTGGCACGTACCCAGGGAACTCACGTGACACTGTGCATCATAGGAGTAACTGCGGTGGATTTGCAGAGAAGCCGGCCAGAGAAAATGCCATGTCCTACAAGGAGGGCCTGCAAACATCCAGGTACAATTCTGGCTACCACAATGATGATCATGAGCAGGCAGTTTGCAGGGTCCTGGTAGAAATGCTGTGTCCATAGAAACATTGGTCACATATATGGTTTCAAGTTCCCATGGAGAGGTTACAGGAAACCTCTTTGTGCTTGAGCAGAGGACTGTGCCTGAATTTAGGGCGGTGATGGTGTGGGCCTAAGCAGGCCACGGAGTATCTGATCTTCCCATACTCAGGTAAATGCGGATGGCTTTCTGGCTCTTGTCCCTGTCCTGACATGGGTTCCTTATCTCATTTTCTGTTCTTTATTTTATGCAGTTATTCAGTTAAGAAACAATGCTTTGCCAACCAAGGCTAGTAAGCATTAGTCCTTGCTATGTTCAACTTTGGGAAAATGTGCCTTGAACATGAGTCCGTGTTGGCTGAGGAAGATGTGGGTGTCCAGGTAAATTCTCCTACTCCACCAGACGACAGGATGGAATGATAATTCTGACCCATCCTCAGTCCGGAGCCAGTAATGGTGCCAGCAGTGAGGTGAAGTTGGAGTTTTGCCAGGATCTAGGTAAGGTTGATGGTTCCCAGAAGTACAGCAGTGACCAGGCCATGTGGTATGTGTCCTTTTTGTCTTTCAGGTGTGCCAAGTGGCATCCCGGAAAACACCTGTCAAATGCATTTCTTCTGCTGCTGTTAGTCACATGATCAAGGCCAGTCTGAGAATGGCCATTTGGGGGCCCTGGATAGTAACCAGGTAATTGATCACATGAATCCTATACCAATAGAGACCACCTGAGCTTCAGATTTCCTGAAGAAAGAGGGCACTCTCCTTGACACAGTGATTTTTCCATGGTTTCCTGCAGGTGTAGAGGTAGATGTTGTGATAGTATCTCATGAAAGACATTCTGCTTTCCTGCATAGGTAATTAATGATGGTTCTGAGTCTCCTAGAGTAACCTTGTGTTTCACATATGTGTCGTTGGGAAAAAATAGTGATTCCCAAAGCCAGTAAGCGTGAGATTTTACTGTTTGCTTATTCAGAGGTAAGGGGTTTTTTGTTTGTTTTATAAATTTCACACTCCGTGCAATAGATATGCCGGTGCACGGGTAGTTGATCACATTGTCTGTCACCCTGATGTGGACCATGGGGTTTCTGCAGGTATCCCTTATAGGCTGTGGCCTCAGAGTTCTTCAGTTATCCAGGTATCCTCGATGAGTTGTGAAATGATGCCAGTGAAAAAAGAGTATTTGTGATTGTCCTTGTAGCATAGGTTGTGGACGAAGCAGTTTCCCCAATATGTCTTTCAGATGAGTGTCAGCATCACAGCATGCCTTTTAATCCTGGGTAGCGGTCATTGCTGGCTGAAGCAAGTGCTGATGCAGGCCTACACCACAGCCTGCAGTGTGGGAATATCACAGAGGCTTAGTTCGGTGATGGTGTGTCCCTACACATCTTCCCGTCATGATTTCTTTCCCCGGTATTTGGTAGAGAAATGATTGAGTCCTTACCAATTGCAGATAGGCCAAGTTTTCCCATTTTCTGTTTCACCAAAAGTATATGCTAAACCCTGTGAGTGTTGAGGGATTGTCTAAGCTACAGCCTTTTTCAGGCTTCCCAAAAGTTGTTTGGTAGTATACAGGCATCAGATCATGTGACTCTTAACTCATTAGATGCCTTCTTATTTTCAGTTATGTAAGTAATGAATGGTGTTTTCATGACTGTTATATAAACCTTGTTTATGGCATTATGCAGTTTAAAAATTAAATTATCCCTAATAATAGTAAGCATGAGTTTTTAATGTATTATTCTTTTGAGATAATGTATATTTAACACTTGTACTGATAGACATATACACAGGTATCTTGGTATTTTATCATATTGCTCATCACCACATTATTAGCCGTGGATTTTTGGAGGTATCTGTCAAAGACTAGAGGGTGCTTTTCCCTGTAGTTTGACTTTGTAGTTCCGTTCTTATCTAGCATTTATGGGCCCCAAAAGATTCAAGAGACCAAGGGAATTTGTAATTGTACAGGTAGAATTAGACTACTACCAAACCCATTTCCCACAATGTGTTTTCCAGGGCTTGTCAGGAGATCATGGTGAGCCTATCTGTGGTAATTAGTATGTGATATTGCTGGTTTTGAGGTAACTGATGATGGAGAGACCTAAACCACAGCACAGATTATCTGATCTTCATATAGATATAAGTGATGGTTGTGTCCCTAACACTTGGTGTTACCATGATTTCTTTTTAAATATTTGGACAGGAAATGATAGCGTCTTTATAAATTCTCAAAACTATGAATTTTCCCTTTTTACATTTTAAGAAAACGTTTATTTAACCTTTTGAGTGTTAAGGAATTGCACATACCAGATAATTATCATGATACTCCTAGCTACAATAGTAACAATGGGATTTTTACAGGTGCCCTAAAAACAAATGTCTTATCTAACAGTGGTCTTGGCCTTGTATTACTACAAGTATACAGGTAGAGTTGATGTTTTCATAATGATCAAAGTTATTTACAAGCATCCTAGTAAATAGAACACATTGTATCCTTTTATACATATATATATCTCAATCAAAATGTGTTTTTCAGGTTCCTGTCAAGAGATTATAACAAACCTAACAATGATCATTATCAGGGACTATTTCTGGTATCCAGGTAAGTGATGATGTGCATTTTAATGACATCACAGACCATCTGGTCTTTACATATCTAGGTAAGTGATGTTTGTTTGCCTAAACTTGTTTACCATGTGATTTTTTTAAAAAAACAATTCTAGTAACCGTGTTACCCTATTGTTCTGTGTTTTCAAGAAAATATATTTTTTACGCTGTGAGTGACTCACATCCAGGTAATTTTCAATATGTTCTGCATCACAGTATTATCCATAGTATTTTTACAGGTGTGCCATCAGAAAACAATGGTGTCTTTAACCATGGTATAGACCTTGTGTTGATGCAGGTTTCCAGGTAGAGATGTTTCCTGCATTAATGGAAGTGAATAAGGTTATTTGCAATTGTCCAAGTTGAAAAGGTGTCTGTATTCACATTTGTCATAATATGTTTTCAAGTTCCAGCAAAAAGATCATGTTGAACTTCATAATGATGATTAATGGGGATTTTGCATGTAGACAAGTGATTATGTGGGCCTTAAGCATCCTACAGATCACGTGATCTTCAGATATCTAGGTAAGTATACATGAGGTCCCTAACATTTGTGTTATCAGAGGTTTTTTGTGAGTATTCATGTAAGAAATGATAGTCTCCTAATAAATACTTGGAAGCAATAACCCTTTCTGTTTGAGTTTAGGTATATGTTTAACCTTAGTAGCATCTAAAATATATTTAGGTATCCAAGTAAGTTATAATTTTGCCCAATACCTATATATTGACCATGACATTTTTTTTCTTTTTTGCAGTTATCTTGTCAAGACAACAACGTGTCTCTAACTAGGTTGTCGACTTTGAACATCTGAATGTCTCCAGGTAGATTTGAAGGGCCCCGTAATTTTCAAGTAACCATGGAATTTTGCGGGTGTTCATATAATACATGCATTCCTAACACAATTTTGACATGATTTTTTTTAAGATCCAGTTAAGAGATTATGGCGCCTTCTCTACTATTGTTAAGGCCCATATCATCTCCTAACTGATACCAGCAAAATCCCAAATTAAATACTATTGTTAGGTGAACCATCATCATCTCTTGATTGCTCTTTTTGCAGATGTCCACTCAACAGTTGATGGTGTCTTGGGCCAGGAGTGGTGGCTCCTGCCTGTAATCCCAGCACTTTGGGGGGCTGAGGCGGGTGGATCACGAGGTCAGGAGTTCGAGACCAGCCTGACCAACATGGTGAAACCCTGTCTCTACTAAAAATACAAAAACCAGCCAGGCATGGTGGCGTGTGCCTGTAGTCCTAGCTAGTCAAGAAGCTGAGGCAGGAGAATCGCTTGAATCTGAGAGGTGGAGGTTGCAATGAGCCATGATCGCGCCACTGCACTCCAGCCTGGGTGACAGAGTGAGACTCTGTCTCAAAAAAAAAACCAAAAAAACAAAGAGCCAATGGTGTCTCTAACTACAAAACTGCAATGTTGATCCTAGATACTTGCTGGTATCTAGGTAAATTTTATGATTCTTTTTTAAGGTTATAGTACCCATAGAATTTTCAGGTGTCAAGGTTATAGATTTCTCCTTAAGCACTGTTGCCTTTTTGGGTTTTTGTAGATTCCAATTAAAAGATTATTGAAAACCTCCCTATGGTACTGAAGGCAAGATTTTTCCTGCATCCAAGTACAAGATGATGTTGGTACCAAAGGAGATATCCAGGTAAGCAATAATGGTGTTCTTAAGCCAACATAGTGACCAAGTTTGTTTGCAGGCATTCTTGTAAGTTATGTTGACTAACCACCATAGTGACCAGGGGAATTTTGCAGATATCCTATTAAGCTATGAAGATGTCTGTAACTAAGGTGTTTTCCTTGGAAATGTGCAGGCATCCAGATAAGAGTTGATGGTGACCCTAATCAAGATCACGACCATGGGATTTTGCAGTTAGGCAAGGAATGATGTGCCCTTACTGCGATATTTATCTTGGCCTTTTTAGGTGTTCAGGTTAGAGATGGTGTTTGTCTAATACATTAGTGGCCATGGGGTTTTTTCAAGTATCTAGTTAGAAGATGATAGTGTCTGTATGTATAGTGCTAACCTCTGAATTTTGCATGTATCCAGGTCAAAGTTGTTCTGTCCCTTACCATGTTAGTGGTCTTAGGATATTTTAGATGTCCAGATAAAGGGTGATATGTCCTTAACCACATTAGTTACCAAGCAATACTGCATGTGTCCAGTTAAGAGATGATAGTGGCCCCAACCATGGTATTGACCATGAATTTTTGCAATTTTCCAGGATACAGATGGTGTTTCACTACCTTCAGTATTGACCATGTGGTTTTACAGGCATCCTAGCAAGAAATTATGTATCCACAATTCTGTTTTTTATCCTCAGATTTATTTAGGTATTATGGAAAGAGATAATGGTGTTCCTAACATTTACTGACCATAGGCTTTGAAGATACCCAGCCAAGAGATGATGGAGTCTCTATCAATGTTGGTGTCCACGGGAATGAAAGAAAAATGGAATTTTTTTGTCAACTATGTATTTTATTAAAGTAATTCTAGCCGGGCGCGGTGGCTCACGCCTGTAATCCCGGCACTTTGGGAGGCCGAGGCGGGTGGATCACGAGGTCAAGAGATCGAGACCATCCTGGTCAACATGGTGAAACCCCGTCTCTACTAAAAATGGAAAAAATCAGCTGGGCCTAGTGGCACGTGCCTGTAATCCCAGCTACTCAGGAGGCTGAGGCAGGAGAATTGCCTGAACCCAGGAGGCGGAGGTTGCGGTGAGCCGAGATCACGCCATTGCACTCCAGCCTGGGTAACAAGACCAAAACTCCGTTTCAAAAAAAAAAAAAAAAGTAATTCTAACATTCAGTGTTAAACATTATATATTTTTCAGTCCTTTTTTTTTTTTTTTTTCCTTTTTTTGGATACAGGGTCTCGCACTGTCACCCAGGCTGGAATTCAGTGGCTCAGTCATGTCTCACTGCAGCTTCAACCTCCTAGGCTCAAGAAGTCAACTCATTTCAACTTCCCGAGTAAGTGGGACCACAGGTATACGCCACTATGCTCAACTAATTTTTGTATTTTTTGTAGAGACAAGGTTTCATCATGTTGCCCAGGCTGATCTTGAACTCCTAGGCTCAAGTGATTGATCGTCCTCGGCAACCCAGAGTGCTGGGATTACAGGTATGAGCCACTGTGCCTGGTCCACAGTCATGTTTTATTATATCCATTTCTTTCTGTTCAGTTTCTACACAATGACATTTTCACCTGGAGTCTTAAGCTGTTTATTAAATAGTTTAACATCTAAGAGTTAGCAATATAGACAGGCATTATATAAAATGTGGTTGTTCATAAGGAAAAGTAGGCTATAGATACAGTCATTAGAAGGTTAAAGGAGCCAAGGAAGAGAAATACTGGTGTACACGCTATGGATAAAAACATTTGTACTCTTACCTTTCTGATATAAATAGATATTAGATGATATGTTAGAAAAAATATGTGAAACACAATGAAGATTAATGGGGGACTCGAATAGTTCTTATTCAATTATTAATTTGGTTATTAACTTGTTATTTAAATTATGCCATTGAAATATAGTAAATAAGAGCTGGGTAAGAATTTGGTGATCAGCTAGTGCAACACCACCATGAATGAGAGCCTGCATGCAGAGAGGATAATCAAGGTCACAAAATTGCTAGTTGCAGTGGCAAGTGTTCTTTCCACTATCCTACTTTTGTTGTTGTTGTTGAGACGGAGTCTTGCTCTGTTGCCAGGCTGGAGTACAGTGGCACGATCTTTGCTCACTGCAACCTTCGTCTCCTGGGTTCAGCCGATTCCCCTGCCTCAGTCTCCCTAGTAGCTGGGACTACAGGCACGCACCACCATGCCCAGCTAATTTTTTGTATGTTAGTAGAGACAGGGTTTCACCATGTTGGCCAGGATGATCTCAATCTCCTGACCTCATGATCCATCCACCTCGGCCTCCCAAAGTGCTGGGATTATAGGCGTGAGCCACCGTACCTTGCCTCCTATTTTCTTTATCGAAAGCCTGAGACCAATTGAAAAACAATAAAACAAGTGTTCAAGAGCTTCTTTAAATCAGTATATCTCAGGAAATACATATGCAATTGGTCAGACTTTCCATCATGCGCTTTGCTTTTTTTGTTGAAATTGAAAATAAAACTTTTCTTAAGGAAGCCTAGGTCTTAGTCTCAGATTCCCAGCTATAAATGTCTCTAACAAAGGAGAAGGGAAGCAACCTAGTCTGAATTTTAATTCAGCCAAGTAGGAAACCCGTGACCTTCCATTCTCTGCTGATATTACCTTTGTTCTAGGATTCATTTCACAACTATTGTTCATCCGAATATGGAGTCACTTCTTTGTATTTCAATACCATTGAAAATATATCAGACCAAGACCATATAGTATAATTCTGCTAGAAAAGAGAAGTTAAAGGGGTTAACCTGTAATAGTAGATTCAGATAATGATGGAAAAAGAAGATTAAAGAAATGAGAATTTTAAAAGCTTTCAACAAGATGCTGTCCCCTGTGGGCCATTCACATAGTAGGCACTCAATATGTGTTGAAGTAAATGAATACTTCTTTATGGACTGGCTCATACAACAGTGATTCTTTCTTCCAGTGTGTGATGGAAAGAAAGCTATAAACTTCATTCCTCAGAATTCTTGCAACACAGGTGTGTGAGGATGTTTTAGGTTCCACCATCAGATGTTCACACGTAACCTCTATTGGAACTGAGCCATGGGTAGAAAGGCAGGGAGTGGACATCTGTTTTACTGCCATGGATTGTGGGAGGGCACCATGGTTCTGGCTAGATATGTTTGAGGATCTTGGAATTCATAAAACAGAGAGGCAAACCAGAGCTAGAGATGTAGCTTAGGGTCAGATACGTTAAAGAAAACATTCTTTCATTTTCTCAGTTTTGCCTTTTAGTTTTTGAAAATTTTGCAGATAGTGTCACAGGGATAAAATAAATTGAAAAAGAAAAAACCAACCATTATACCATCATGAAAATATATAAACACTTTATTTTTCTCTGTTATCAGTCATCCACATTTATACATACCATATAGGGAACATGAGGTTTGTATAATTTTCTGATTTCTTTCTCTTAAAATGACATTGTAAATATATACACTCATATATTTAATATATGGAAAAATGTAAAAATGACAAGGAAAATTTAAATGTGTAAATCTGTGCACATACAAGTCATGTGTAGTAGGTATAGTTCCCTGCTTTGATGATCAACAGTGAAGAAGCCACACAAAGTTCATGCCCTAAGGAAGATTACATTCTCTAATGGGTTCAACATCAATGATCCATACATTCTTGTGTCCCTGGAAGAGTCTCACCTTATTTCATTGTCTCATTACAATTATGAATAGCTCTCACTTTCAAGGGTGTCTCAGTTTGGATAATACATTACATAGTCACCCTGGACATAATAGAGAATATAGGGGTGAGGACATATATTAACTGCAGGGTAATAAGTGCTAATATATATATATAGATATCTATATAGATATATAGATATAGATAGATATAGATATCTCCAGCGGGACACTGGAGATTAAAAAAATAGAAATTTAAATTTTTTAAAATTAAAAATATCCTAAAGTAAGGTGACTAATTGGGGAAAAGGACTTCTTTCATTTGGGTGGTCAGGGCAGCTCTCTCTGAGGGGAGCAAAGACTGAATGACAAGAAGGAGCCAGTCAGGTGAAGAGTGAAACTGTAACATTGTAAGAACAGCAAGGGGAAGCAGACATGTCCAGAGGACAGAGGGAGGCAGTGAGGATGAAGGGCAGTGTGCAAGAATGGGAGTGGTCCAGAGGGAGGCAGTGAGGATGAAGGGCAGTGTGCAAGGATGGGAGTGGTCCAAGGGGAGACAAGGGCTAGGTTTTTAAGGCCCTGCCTGTCATGAGGAGGAGCTTGGGTTTCCTTTGAAATGCAAGGCACAGTCTTTAAAACAGAGCAGAGTAACCTTACTTACATGTCTGTGTCAAATGTATTCAAACCCGTAGGCCAGCAAATCACTCTCTGATAAAGCTCTCATATTTAAAAATACTACTCCTCTAATAAAGCCACAGACACCAGGACTCTATGGAAAAATAGGTTTTTTACCAACACTGGAATGAATGGTAAATTATTACATGACTTCAAGCTTAACGTGAAGCTTAAAGTTCTCAGAAGCAGACATATTTATAAATTTTTCCCTTAAAGTATTGAAAGATAAAGTGCTGAATTTTAGTACTTTATAACAGAGTCACAAATAAATGCAAGGCTTTATGGGTTTTATCAAGGTCTCCTCTTGTCATCAGTGACATTAGTGAAGGATTATACAGTGTGAAGGTAGTTGGGACTAGTCTCCAGACAAGGGAGTGGCAATTTGGGACTAACTAACTGAAAAGGGAGGGAAGGGCAAGATGCCAGAAATCTGGTGGAGGACCTTGGTAGTAGGTATTCCAGCAGCTTCCAGATTCTTTCTGAGGCAATTTCAAGAGATGCAGCTCAGAGTTGCAACTCCCTCCTGCTAGGCTTGGTCTTCTAAGGCCCAGCACTTGGCCACACAGGTTATGCACAACACCAGGATACCAGACTGCAGAAAGTGTATCAAGGGCCAAATTCCAGGTAACATCCTGCTCACCAAACCATGCCAGCTCAAAGGAAGGGACACCTCAATTCAGCTCTGGTTTACCTCTCTGCTTATGAATTCCAAGCTCCTGATACACATCTGGCCAGAACCATGGTACCCCTCCATAATCCTCACCAGGAAAATGGATGTCTAGTCCCTGCCTTTCTTCCCACTGTTTCAGGACTTTTCCTTAGTTCAGCTAAAGATGAGGTCCTTGTAACACAGCGACAAAAATTTAGGCGTGCAGATGATTTGAAGGGTGAGTAGGGCAGGATTTTATTGGGTAGAAAAGAAGAAAAGGAGAAATAGAGACACCTAGCAAAGCAAGAGAATATGCTTCCTGCCCATGGGCTTCCCAGGTACACTGAGGAAGAGGAGGGGCAAGGCTTCTCTCTGCAAAAGTTCATACTTCTGTGGCTCCACCCCAGTGTGGGCTCCTTCCAGTGTGCAGGTCAGTTGGAGGCTCTGCCAGGGAGCTCTTCCCACCTGGCTGTCTCACCAGGGCTCTGGGAAGGGGCCATGCCCAGAGGGGATTATTTTCCATATGACTCAAAATCTTTGTCTGTGCTCAGCAGCCCTGTGTTTAGGACATTCCCTGGGCCTTATGGCCTCTGATTAGTCATCCTTTACTGTCTAAATCTCTTAGCAGATGCACTCTCACCAGCTAGCTAATTCTGTCTCCTGGTTCTCACCCTGGTTATGAGATGGTGCTGATTTCTTGTTTCAGCAACATCCCGGGCATAAAACAGCATTTTTCATTATTTACCCACATAAATGATCAGTTGCTAGAGGCTGCTCTGGAAAGCAGTGCACATACAGCACACATAGGAATGAATCCA